ACTAACCGGCAGTTCTTTTAGATTTTATATACTCCTAAAGTACTTCTCATTGACACTGATTTCAACATTAAATAAATGGGTCCTTGTTTATGGTATCACAATTAATTTGCACAATTCATATCAGTCAGTAATAATAATGGTGTTTAATCGGACGATTTTGTATCTTTCTTTTCCAGGACGATACTTGTTTGGGCTTGTTCATTCATTTTAAATGTAAGAACTGGAGAAAAGGTGGATTAACCGATTTGTGAATTTGATTTTATTAATATTCCATACACTTCAATTGAATAATAAACATTAAAAAACAATTAAACTCTACAAGTATTTAATCGCTCAATACATGAAAATAAATTTTAATTATGAGCATATATATAAGTTATAAATAAATATTTTTTGAATATATAAATAAAATCAGAAAAGTTTATAATGAATAATTTAAGAACACATGATATTTTAAATTTAGATTGTAAATCAATATTATTTATACTACTAACTTCAAACGTTTAAATTCAATTTTGAAATCAAATATATTAAAGGAGACAGGACTGAGAAAATTTAAGAAACTTCCCTATTCGAAGAATATCTAAAAACAGAATTCTATGAAAACAACCCTTAAAACCATTTCATTCAAAATATCAATTCTAATCAGTAGAGAGAATTTGTGTAAACATACTTTCAAATAAATACTAGCGCACAAATCATACTGTATAAAATAACATCTACTTAGAAATTACACTATTCATTTATAATTATTTAAAAACTAGTGCAAAAAAACAATTAACTCTGAAACAGTTTAGAACCATCCAAAAATATAATTCAGATACATTCTCAAAAATGCATTTAATCTGGAGAGGAGAAATCAGCGAGGCATGCAGGTCAAGAATATCGCTCTAGCAGTAATAATGACATATATATACTTGCTAACATCCTTAATTTGTACATTTTACATACTTTAAATATTCACATAAAAAATACAGCCTGGAAGATTACTACAAAAGGATTTCCAGGCTTTCTATACACATGGTCAGTCATTTCATTTTTCTATACAAAATATAGTTTGAAAATCTCCTAGGATCCTCTGGTTTTCCCCACGTATTCCTTCAAAAGGAAGCAAAAAACAGGATTCATAACATATCCATTCTATGATGAATCTTCCAGAATTTTGGTGTCAAATACTCTGAAATTTCTAGTGCCCCAGATATCATCTTTGGAGAGATAGTATGACTTGAGACAAACACAAACCCAAGGTGGATTTCTTGTAGTATCTTTTACCCCACCAATGCTATTATCTTCAGATATTCCAAGTAATTTATTCAGCTTTCTTTCCAACTTTTCAGCGTCAGGAATACCATCAAAAAGAGTCACCTATCAAAAAGGGTCACCTATCATATATCATCATGACAAACACGGAAAATAAAACAAAACAGCTAAGCAGAACGCAAACAAATAAACATTTTGCAGGACTAGTACATGTAATTGCCAAGAATACAATTTGAAATCAACAATGGCCACTGAATAGTAAAGTGTAACATTATTTGTGTAATGGGGTGTAATTGGTGTCAAAAAGATCCTAAAAACAGGCAAGTCAAACTTTGTTCTTACCACATCCTCTTCAATTACAAGAGCATGGATTCTAGCAGTTGAGTCCTCTAGTGTTAGACGCATCCTATATTTCCCAGTAGAAGAACGGAGATTTTCAGCTTTGCAAGGCATTGCTGCTACCACCCGAACAACACACTTGAATATAGCCGTCACCTTCAACATAAGAATTTAGCTATAAAAACGAGTAGCAACAGTAACGCTCAAAGGTAAATAGCATCAATTAATAGGGAGTTTGATGTTAAGAGTGTAGGCTTAGGTGAAGAAAATAATTTACAATACCTTTGAATGAGTGAGGACACTCATTAAAGTAACAGGTCTCACATGATCACGATGATTAACTACTGTAAGAAAAAAAATTAGTGTCATCCCATAAGAAAATCATAAATCCAAGTCAACATTCACGAATCAAAGACTTAATGTGTAAAGAATGAGATACCTGTAATCGGTGAAGGCTCGGGGAAGCTCAAATTAGGCATTCTTCCTAATATTAAGGATAGCCTCTCGCAAGCCAACCTAGACCAAAATTCGTAAGAGACGTACATAAGTTTAAGTAAAATGATAAACCATATAGAGTCAACTAAACTAGCAACGGACCTTTGGCGTTCTGCAATAAGCTGATCTTCATTTGATATAAATCGAAGCTTTGTTTGAACAGTAAAAACACCATGCCACAGTCCAGCATACAACGTAAGACGCAAATTATTAATTTTTACCCATTTACCAATGGTTAGAAGGTGGAAATGACTCTTTTCAACACCTATATCAAAAATTATTCTAAGGATAGTTCCAACCGTTGGAAAAGTACATAAAATATCTCTTGGCAAAGGCAAATGGTCCCGTTGTAAAGGAAGTGGATGCTTAAGTTCATTTTCTAGGCTGAAATTCAGAAAACAAACAAAATTTTATATTAGGCTACTCTCACAAAATAAAATATTATAATTATACAAAAATCGTACAATATTGTGAAACAAGCAATAAAACACCAAATATGGCAATGTTATGCCTATTTCCAACACTTGAATATGATATGACTTTATAAATAGAGCACTATAAAGCAGTTAGAAGATATTAATTCTATCCAAATTCGAGATGTACATTTGGGAAAAGGAACTGAACTGATAATTTAAAAGTAAAATAGCATCAACTCACTTTGAACATATTGCATTCGATTGGGTATCAGTACCATCCCAGACAAAGATCACCCATTCATCTTTGGCAGCCTCACTATGATGAAGGATCTTAATGTGGAAGTTCAAACAGTTTAATTATTGTATTTATATGAAGATCTCCCAAACTCAATTATGCAAAATTTAGAAACTAAAAAACAACTTAATTACCTTGCATGCCAAATTAACGAAAGTTTCTTCCTTGAGTTCTCTGAACAAAGGAAATTTACTGGAATCTATACAATTCAAAATAGAGAACGAAATCAATAGCAAATAAATAACTACAGAAACCCTTAACAGAAAACCTTCAAAGCTGAAATAATATAAAACCTTCAGAGAATTGGAAATTGATCAGCCATTTTCTCAGTTTATTTATGATTATCTTGTCTTCGTCTTTGGGTACAAAATAAGGACGAGAAACTTGATAGGAATTTAAACCATCGTCATCTTTGCTTTTATATAAAGCAAATGTTGAAGTATTTTTGTTAAAAGTAACATTTACTTCTCCCCTGTACGTTGTTACCTAGAAAAGATAAGAAAAAACAGTACACATGTATTCAAGAGCAAACCGATGACAAGAAAACAAAAAGCAAACATATCTCTATCCACACAAAAGATAATACAATTAAAAATTACCGATACAAAACTAAGTTGAATTATATCTCCCAAAGCCGCCACAAGAGGAAGATTTTCGGTACTTTTACCAAAAACATTAGCAGCCATGCTAAAATCGTGTCGTGTGTCATCAATGATTCTGAGGGCACAACAATAATCTGCAAAAGATTTTTATACAGGATATAATATACCGTGTTTCATGTTAATAATAACTGGGAAGAGACATTAAAGTAAAGAACACTCTTGAAAGTATTAATCAAGGGACCCAAAACACAAGAAAAAGTTAAATGAACAAAACAAAAATTGAAACTTTTCTTTTCTATCAAGCTTCCAACTCTCCTCTCCTACTCCTATATCTTTTTCTCATTCCCTATTTTAACATTGTTTTGAAAATGAAAAGAGGTTAAAACAACTGGCTCAGAACACACTTTCACGATAAAGTTCATCAATCTACTACCAAGGAAGTAAATGGCAGCCGTAAGTCCGGCCTTTTAATCATCATTGCCAGTTAAACTCGAACAAATCCAAACTTTGATGAATGAAATGCAGAAAATTAGGATTTAGGCTTACCCGTGCCCATTGTTTTCTTGGCAAAGGTAGTTTCAACAACAACGCCAATGACATTTACTTTCCCATTCACATATTTACAAACATCTCGCAGTGGCACATCCATCTCGCAGTGACGACAAGATCAAACTATTCCTCAGTCTCACTCCCTTTGTATTTCTCAATCTCTTAAACCCTAAAAACCAATTTGATTCCTTCCCTCGAAAACTCTTTTAATATATTTGTTATTGTTTATTATAATATTAAAAACTGTAAAAGAAAGTACAGTGATGTGACTCTTTGTGACGGTTCATTTTCTCTGTTTACAGTTTTTCAATGTTTTAATTTCGATTTAAAGAAAAGTGTTACAATTTCTTGTCTCTAGTAAAAATTATTTTCTTATACAGAATCTAAATTTCAATGTTAATAATGCTCACACTTCTTTCATCATACCTCTCGTCTGTCAAATATCTTTATTTTTCTCGTTGATGAATATAATATATATAATAATATTTAAATTTTAAAAATAATAATTAAGAGGATAAAATTAGAAAACAAAAAATATATATAGTTATAGATATATTTAAAGATAAAAAAAAATTATATTATAAATTATACTGAGTAAATAAATTTTTTATTATAAGTAATTATTTGAATTTGAAAAAATAGTTCCTAAAATTATAAAAATATAAATAATTTTATTATAGCGAATAATTATTTGAGTTTAAAAAAATTTAATTACTCAAATAATAAATTTGAAAAATTAGTTTTTATTATAAATGATTATTTAAATTTATAAAGTAGTAGCTAAAAGAATAAAATTAAAAAAATAAAATAGAACATTAAATAGCCGTTAGACTTTTATTCATTTATATAATATAAACTTATTTTATCTAATTGATACGAAATCTTTAACATTAAATTCTTTTGGCCTAAAAAAAACTATCTTTAATCTACTTTGATACAAATTTACAATAACATGCTTTAAATTGTGTATATATTTTTTATTCTTATTTAAACGTGTTCGCCTTGTGGGGAAATTATATTCTCCAACATCTTCACACTCAAAAATTATCCAAATAAAATGGGAGATTCACGAATTACTCAAACCAATGGCAAGTTATCATCCTAAAGCTCTGGATTTTAAACATACAATAACATAAAAAGTGAAACTACATGGAAAACTAGAGTCACACAGAAACTAAATATAGATAGAACATGTCATTTTTTCTTGGCAATGAACAAGCCCCACATCTGCTCTTTAGATTCACCCCTGCTCTGCTTTGCCTTCCATCTTTCCACAATTTCATTGTAGTCATCCTGAAACCAATCAATCCAAACCTAAATCTTATTTAACAGAAACAAATGCCATAAAATAACTATCTTCACAACATAATCAAAAACCCACCTCGCCGAACTCACGAATGAAATCCTCCTTCTTCTTCTCAAGGGCATCTAACTCCTTCTCTAGTGTTTTCACGAACTAAACCGAACAAGTAATAAAGCTATTAGTACTTTAGAATCAGAATCAAAGAAATGCAGATACTACGCAGAGAGTATTATATCATAAGATCTCAGAACAACCTGATCAGTTTGATCTTCAACAATGAGATCATCAAATCCAGCATCCTCCAGCATCTGAAAATGATTTAGAAATGAAAAGATTGTCAATAAGAGGAAAAGTTAACACATGATTTCGGTCGAAACCAAATGGGTGAAAGAGAAGCCAGATGATGTCATTGATAGCACAGCCAACAATACCTTCCCATACGCCGTCATGTCGTGGAGATAATATCCTCCTTTTTTAATGTACTCAGCAAATTCTGAAGACGGACTTCGAGCACTTTTGCAATAATCGGTTATCAGGATTTTTCCTCCAGGTTTCAACCATTTGTAAAATGATCTGAATAACGTTGGTTTATCCTGTATTGATCCAGAGTAATGTTGGTTTCTCCTCAGCATATCACATTTGATATTTACTATATTTCAAGGTTTAACTCATAATACTACTAAAATCAACAATCAAACAAGAAAAGAAAATGGACAGCCCCTTACTTTGACATGTAACATGGTGTCACGAGTTTAGATTACATCAAATGTATTGTCAGGATAAGACTTTTTAAAGCAATCCGCGCAATCAAATTCCACAGCATAGTTCAGTCCGATAGCCCGTTCGATGGCAAGGGATATCATATTTATGGAGAGGTCAATGCCAACAACCTCAACATCAAAATGTCCTGCCATGTAGAAATCACCACCCCCAACACCACAACCAACATCCAGAACTTTCTGACCAGGCTTTAGTCCTAGCTTTGTCACAATTTCCTTGGTCGTTTCTGCCAAGCGGAGAAGCAGAACATCATAGGTTAAGATACATAGAGACAATTATGATAAACACAGCACATATCCTTTTTTAAGATTGTGACCCCGACGATTTTCTGAAGAAAAAAAGAAAAAAATACCAAAGTATCATACAATATTGAGCAATCTAAGAACGAGAGCAAAATTAGAACAACATTAAGTGATCAACAGCGTAAGATCTTCAAATAACTTTTACTAAAAAAACTACACTTAATATATGCTAGTAGAGAGAAAAGAAAATATGCACATAAATATGTTCAGAACAACTGAGTTTATTAATAAAAAGAGTATAACTATATATCTCTATAACAAAAACATATTAAATTAAGAAAAATGATGAAATGCCACATTTTGCGATAGTTTATGAAATAGTCTAAAAAAGTCAAAAACTAAATTAAACAGAGCTGTCGTTGTCACCACACAAACATTTCTCGACTGATAAACTACATTTCAAAATGAAAAAAAAAAGGAGGGAATGATGAACAACTCTTTCTTGAACCGCATGGTCCCTCTCACGGATCCAAAATCAATGCTACCAAAATCATAACTTATCAAGGCCTTGTAGTCATGGAGCAAATCACTACATAGCAATCAGCCAGTTATGTATAGTGGGTAAATGAGAAGAGGTCGCTCTTGTGGACAGTCACGGAAGATCATACTACCATATCTACTATATCAGTGCTAAGGGAAAAGGAAAGATCTCTAAGCTAGCAATCCAAAACGAGAGAAATAAAATTCGTAAGACATACCAAGTCCACCGGTGCTCACAAAGCCTGGACCATACATCTGTTCATATCGTAAAATACTCTTATGACTGTATTCAACTCCATCCAAGAAACGTTGGAAACCCCTATCGCCTTCAGACTTAACTTTTTGCCATAACCAGCAGACCTATGCAACAAATTGTACACAGATACAGTCAGTCAATTGGGTAAGCAGAAATTAACGATAATACGTTGCAAAAAATGGAATCCCAATTTTATTACCTGATTTTGATTCTTCTTGTTTCTGACATAAGCTCCAATGCACTTGCAGCCAACGAGAGACAGCTCAAAAGAATTTCCCATATCATCACTCATTTGGCACTCTTTAAAAACCTGCATGAGAGAAAGGGTTGAGAGATCCAAGTCATCAAAACCAAGGTTTTGTAGAAGATTGTTACCTCTAAAATACAGAAAGCTATTTATCCATGCCAAGTATACATAAAACAGAAAAATCTTGAAACCGCGGCATAAAGGATCAAAGACTTTTTCACTTGCAACAGGGAATTACAAATATTTTAAGACAATTTTTCAACTGACTTAGATTTAAGTTGCTAGCATGTAAAAATATTATTTTCAGTAAAGTCTCATTAGTTAAACTTACCCTATATGGTTCACATCGACTGGGCCCTTCTTTTCCATGAGTACTTAACCCAAACATTGTCTAAAAGAAATAGTAGATTGAAAAGAACTTAACACGAGGCAGACACTAAATTTTGGAAAGGAACCGATGATCCATGGTCCATATTTCCAACCACAAAAACTCCCACTGAACAGGTTTAATTGCACTTTAAAGTACGCTTTATTGAATTTAATCTAAAGGTTCTGACTCCATAAAATTAAAATCATACACTACAAATGAGCCCAAAGTTGACGTCCAGCCCATTTTTATTCAGACAGACTAAGGATGACATGTAACCACACTCGGAAGAACAGACCTTAGTGTAAAATCTAGGTTCCCTGTAGTGAGTAGGGTTGTGTTTTCTCTTTGAATCTCCAGATTGGTGGAAACAAGATTCTCTGAAGAATATATACCCACCATCTTTTAACCATTTCATCATCCTTTCAGCCAATTTTTCAACCTGAGGGATCAAGAGAAAAACAAAAGGGTAACTCAAGAAGGCCCGCATTGACAAAAGAATCATGAAAATTTTGCAAACTTGTATTCTCTAAAATAAACAAAACGGACCTCATTATCCGAAAGATACATAAGTAACCAATTCGAGAAAATCAGATCAACTGATCCTTCGGAAACACTATTAGACATGTTTGGAGATGTGACATCAGCACAGAGAAATTTGACATTCTTGTGGTGTCCATTGATTCTTTCATTCTGCAAAACATTGTGAAAGACTAGTGATTGAGGTTACTTCATGATGCGAGTATGTATAAAATTGGCATGAATTAACCATATTGATTTTCGGAAAGACAAATCCCACAAGACCTTCTTGATTGCACTCTCAATGAAGTCCACAGCAAGCAACTGACCAGCTTTCTGAGCCAATTCACCAGTAAATCTTCCGATACCTGCTCCTAGCTCTATAACGGACTTGCCTTCGCATGGCGGTAATAGAGAAAGTACCTAGGCAGATAAAAATTAAACACTTTTGAGTTGCGTGCAAAAGCACGAACAGCTTGAAAAAAAAAGGGGAGGGGGGCGTGGAAATATAATAGATATTGAGAAATGTACACAGAATTTTGCAACCCAATTTGCTGCTTGTGATACAAAGCAAAATTAACAGGATAAAGTACTAATTTCATTCACAATCATAACCAAAAAATATATATAGCAACATGAAGAAGAGAGAATTTACTTCAGAAGCATATTTTAGCAATGTATAAAAGATGGATCTAAAGCAAAGAGGTGGCAAAACAGTGATCACTTTTGCTGAAAAGATAAAAGCTGCAGTTCAAGACCAGGGAGAAACGACACAGCACAAAACAAACAGAACAGCACAAACAGTTGTTGGTTTTGTTGGAGCGAACAGATCAAATCTTTATGAGATGAAGTTGAAGGAGAATATTCCAAAATGCGTATGATGTTATTGCAAGATGAGTGAAACAACGATGAAATAATATGAGAGGTGGAGAGGGAGAGAGAATACCTCGGGTCTCTCTTCCTTGTCGAGATGAGCGGCTTTGGAATCGAGCATCATTGCCTCAACGGACAAATCTGTGGAATGTTGAACCCAGTACGATTTCTGAATGTCACGCTCATTCACACCATTTCCATTTCCATTTCCTGCACAGAACACTCAATCCCAAACGATTACTTAACTTCAAATTCTTCTAATGGAATACGAAAGAAAGAAGATGAGAAAACGGTGATCTCACCTGGCGCCATTGTTGAAGGAACAGAGAGCAGAAGAGAACAAAGAGAAGAAAGTGTTGTGATGGCTAAGTGCCTTCAATGGCGAGACGAGACCTTGAGAAACTCCTCGATCTTCGGTTGTTGCCTCTCCCTTTTTGCTGCATTACCCTACTTTCCTTTCTATCTCTTCTTTCTCCTCTTCATCCCTATATATAACACTTCCCATTTCTTTCTTCACAAAAAATATCAAATTAACTCACTAATATAATGTTCTTCCATTAATTCTTTATTTAACCAAATAAACTATCATGTCAAATATACACCATGCTTTTAAGATCAATTTTTTTAGTGATTCAAATTTATTAAAAATTTTAAAAAATCATATTTTTATTTTCTATAGACGACCTGCTATTTTTTATGTGTCAGTAAAACTTTTATAACCCTCAAATCTCACACTCTCTTCTTTGTTTTTAAAAAATTAATATAATCTCTTTTTACATTACTTTTAAGTGTTTTTTTTAGTTTTCTTAAAATATTACATTGATCACGAAAAATATTATACAATAAAATCTGATAAAAATCATCTTATCATCATAATATATTAATGAAATAAAATAATAAAATCATGTTTTGGATATAAGATCGAGATCAATGATAATTTAAAAGGTTTAAAAACTATCATTCACTCACTCTAAATTTGTTGTAGTTGTTTGTCTATACGATACAAATCATATTATACAACTATGTTGTAAAAAGATATATGGTAATACATATAACTTAAATTGATTAAATTTTATTAAAAAAAACAGTACGTAAGCCCTTTTCAAAGTTAAATAACAATAATATTTGTAAATGAATCTAAAATTTGCAAAAGAGTACCCCCTGTACTAACTAACGTAGTTATTATTATTTTTTTCATTTTTGAAAAATAAAACATTGTAATAAAAAGTTAAATATTGGTTGATGATTAGAAAAAAGAGGTAATTTTTTGTCATTTCTCTTGGAAATTATGTGCAAAAACCCATAACAGCATAAAGTAAAAATGATTGTAAGGAAACTCTAAACTTGCAAATATGTGAAATAAATAATATTTTAGGACAGTTTTGGATCTGAAAACATGTGAATGAATGTTGTTTTTTCTGTTGTTGGAATCGTATTCAAGGTTCATTTATTTATTGTCTTGTTACTTTGAAAATTGAGTCCGAGTGAATCTTAAATTCTAAAACGTTAATTTCTTAAATCATGACATTAATCTATTTTTTATACTAGGAATATAGAAGATTTTGTTTGCGATAAATTGACTTAAATAAAATGTTTGGTAGACCTAAACTGAATCTATTGGATCTAATTCTGCCAATCATCTGTCGCCACGTGGTGCTTCCATGTGAGATCCTGGATATATCACGTTGAGAACGTCACGCAATACACGCTTCCCCCAAATATAGTTTCATCCTCTTTGTGACTTCGGTCACGTGGGTCTCTGTTTTTCTCGGCGTCTTAATCAGTTCTTTTTTAAATTAAAGTAATTAGAGATTTATTTTAAATTAGACAAACGACCGTTTAAATTTGGATTACATAGCATTAAAAATAAGTTTTGTTTAAAAATTTTGAATTCTACAGATGTTGAATCAGATTCAGGAAAAGACAAAATGGGAAAAATGTAAAAAATTAAGTGCAGTCTCTTGCAATTCAGAAATACATTTGGAAAAAAACAAAAGTCGGGGCTCCGTATTATCAAGGTTCGTGTGAGAGAAAAGAAAGCGATTCCATTTGACCCGAGGGTTCGTGGGTGAAGAACATCTAATGATAGCCATGATTTAGTCAGCAAGCTTAATTGCCTCATTTTAGAAGTCACTTATCTGTTTGATGCATCAACCGAGAATCGTTATGAAGTTAATTCTTAGGTCATGGAAGAGAGTTAGAGAAAATGGAAAACAAAACAATTAAGGAGACACAAACCATGCGCTCTTGCTCTGAAGGCTTTCCAGCAAAACATGTATCAGTAACGTGCTTGATTGCAACATCAATGCCCCTCCATTTTCCAGTGAGTTTGGAGTATCCTGCACATCTCCAAACCCGAGGGATGGAGATGATGAAGATAGTGCAACATCTTTGATGTGGGGGTTCCAATATTCGGTTGAGGATTCGAGCCGAGAATGCCCCAAACAGGGGTTGTGTGGCCTTATTGTGTTCCCTTGACCTGAAATTTTGCCTGTATGAAGAAGAACAAGGCAACACAATTGCAATATTATTTTGATTTGCATCAACTATCAATATTGACCTGCCAAAGTTATCCAAAATCACCTATCCCTCTACAGATTTATGAGTGTTGTAACCTAAATTATCATTCCCACTAGGTTTATTAGCTGACAAAAAAGAGTAGTCATTACTTACAAAAGCAGGGGACTGCATTTAAATATTTACATTTTTGCCACTTTGTCTTTCCCTAAAACATACGTGCAATTCCAAATTTTTTTTAAAAAAAAGAGACCTATATTGAGATTCTGAATTAAAATAGGAACCTTACGATATATTAAACCTTTTTAAAATTATAACGATACTTTGACAACATTTTTTTGACAACATTTTAATATCATTTTCATGTTATTTTTGTGATTGGTCTATGTTAGTGTTTATGATTATTATTATTGATTATGAAGTAATTTTAGACCAATCACACAGTGATACATAAATAATGTTAAAATATTGTTAGAAAAATGTTACCAAATTATTATTATCCTAATTTTAATTGAATTATACAATTGAATGTTAAAATTTTAAAGTTAAAATATAATCTAATACATTAAAGTCAGTTAATTTATTGAATTTAGTTAATAAAATGTTAAATACAGTGAAAATAGTACATCATACACAGTATTTAATCTGTTTTCTGTTCAGTCAACTTGAATGACAAAGCTTGTGGCAATTTACGAAATTATATTTTAACGTATTTTTTATAAAATAATTCATAATTAAGAGACCATATAAAGAGTAAAAAATGAAACATGAAATAAAAATATTAATAGCAATAGTAATAGAAAAAAAAAATATTAATAGCAATAGTAATAGAAAATAAAAATAAAATATTGTAAAGGATGTATTCTGTGTATAACTCTTACGGTATTAACTTTTCTCTCATTATAAGTAGGGAAAACGATACTTGAACAACCATTTTTGACAACATTTAGACACGCGCATACGTGTCTAAATTTGAGTGGTCCAGTTGGAAAAATTAAATGAAAATGGACCACTCAAATTTAGACACGTGTGCGCGTGTCTAAATGTTGTCAAAAATGGTTGTTCAAGTGTCATTTTCCTATGAGTAGTCATTAATTAGAGACGTTTCTTGCATAGAATCAGAATATTATTATAGACTACAGGCAGTGACTAATAATATAAGAAATAAAATAATATTTCGATTTTTTTTATTGCTTTATATCCTTTTATCATTCTTTTGTGGTTAAAAATTAGGGACAAATCACGTATTTTATTTTCTTATGAATTCAATTTAAATGATAAGATATGTCATTTAGAAATGAAAAGAAATATATTAAAGTAATTCTTAACGGGAGAGATGAATATAGTTTAATATAATGATCAATGGAAAAAATAATAATTTATCAAAAGAAATAAAATTTGATAAACTTAATTGTTACTAAAATCTGTTTAATAAAAAAATATTTTTCTTTTGGATGTTAATATTAATTAAAATTTTAAGTGAGAAAATAACTATCATTTATTCTAACAATATCTAATTAGTACATTCATTTTATCTTTTATTGTATTGATTTTATCAATTTAATTTATGGATAAGTGTTGTCCTGTATAATTATTTGGTCAATTATGAATAGATGGTCCAAACATTCTTCCTCAAAACAAACATAACTATACATCACTCTCCAAATCGTCAATTTATAGAAAACTTAATTCTAACATTGATCAATTAAATAAAAAGTTTGATCACTCTCAATTTAATTATAATTAAGAGTAATTTAAAGTTCATTTCAAAATTTGATAAAAAAAACAAGTAATTGTATTTAATATACATATCAATGAATAAGTTTTTTTTTTAGTACAAGAGATGGATGCGTGAAGGCGAATCTATAGATATAATGCTACTTACCTTGATTAACAAAAAATAAGAATGTTTAATTAAGAAAAAATTTAGATAGTATACTTAAGGTTATGTTTATTTGATAAAATAATTATACTAATGACAACGAAAGTTGTGAAGGATTAAATACATAGCAATGTTAATATATATAATTTAGGTATCAGGTAAGAGTATCTTGACATGCATGCATACTCAACCTTACCTGTACAAATATTGGGCCTCTGGGCCCATAAACAATTATTTTTTCTTTGCACGAGTCAGACTGATTAAAAAATATATATTTAAACCAATTTCTGATGATTAAATCATTGAAAACAGGTTACATTTGTAATAATTATATTAAAATGAATTTGTTATTTCATTTATAAGGATGAATAGTTTGTAATAAATTACATATTAAGTCTTTTTTTTGTAATTTTGAATTTTTTGCTTGAAATAATAAAAAATCAAACATGCTTCGAGCACAGCCAGATACTCCTGACTAGATTTATGTCAAAGATCAGATTTATAACCATCAAATATGCGTGATAGATTTTAATTTTATATGAAAGTTATCTTGACTTATATTACTTCATTTCAATTATAGTAAAATTCAGCGAACATAATTTTTCTTTAAGAAATTATAAAAATACCCAATTTTTTCTTTAAGAAATTATGTTAACTTAACCCAAAAAATACCCAATTTTTTCTAAGGTATCCGATTTTTATAATTCCAATAAAAAAATTTGAACTTTAGATTATGAAAGTTGTCCCCTAATATTCCAAACGAGTCGACATCGAATCAAACACCTACCTACGATGGGGTCCCTTTCTTCACTATACCTTCGTATATTTCCAAACACTTCAAACATAGTCAAACTCATTTATTACATTTATGGATTTCAGACCACGTCATCAGCTAAATATTCAATGACAAAACATGCTGCTAGATACAAACATCACACATGTAACATGTTCCAAACATCTCATTACAAAATCTTAAATTCATCACTAGTTAGCTCAAACAAACTTTTTCTTCAAGATACTTCAAATAAATAAGTCGGGTAAACTTTTTTCTTGAATTCAAAATTTTTAACAACATTATATATTTCCATCTTTCAAAACATAGAATTTAATTTTATAGAATATTTTTTATTTAAATTTTCAATAAAAATGTGAAGAATAACAAGAAATCAAGGAGAAATTTTAATTTAAAATCTAAAGAGATGGTCATTTTATAAATTAAGTTTTCCTGAAAAAAAAAATTATCTACAAACATGATTTTACATTTTCACTAAAAGCAAGGACAATTCATGAAAAACGAAAACTCATTCGAGGATCAGTGCCTCCTATTCTATCATGCGTTCTCCTTCTCTAAGAACTCTGCATGGGCGTCACACGTAATCTTCATATTCTCATTCTCTCATAACCCCAGCAAGATGTAGTACACCAGTGTAATGGGCAATGCAATCAACATCCCAAAAATAACTCTGCATTTTCAATACCATTTTTCAATTATAACTCCTATATTTTACGATCAATACAATTATTTAACACTGACTTTAACCAAGTTAGAATCTTTTTTTTTGATAGAAAACAGAAAAAGTAATTCATTTCATATCAGGAAAGCAGTAAATAATTATAATGATAACTGTAATTTCTGCTTACCCTGTGCTGAGAATATCAGGGTGCACATTGTATTCCTTTGCAAAGACAAAGGGGACAATTCCCTGAGGAAGAGCTGCCTGTATATTTATTTCAAACGCCAAAATCAAAAAACAGTCAAATGTTTGTTGTACAAGCACAACCTCAAGAAAGATATTTTCATGATTAAAACCTTTTTTTAAGTTGTGTGGGTTTCTGTTCTGTTCTCTTTTCGGACTCAGTCTTTGCATGCCAATTAAAGATACCATTTTGCAGAGAATTTGAACCTTTTTCCGAGGGAACCAACCACGGTGCAGATCGGCATTACAGCAGAAAATTTAACCAATATAATATCTTATCTTGGCAGAGCTACATATATGCTCATACATATTTAAATGCAATGGAATTTCTTGAGGTTGTGTGAGTGAATATTGTATTGGTTTTGTTGGAAAGGAGCAGAAAGAAAGAGAGAGAGAGAGAGGATTGGATACCTGAACGATGGCAACGTGTAAGAGAACACCTTTTAGTCCAACGACCATGGAAGCAGCTGCCATGACAGCTGGACCTGTAAGGAATCTCACGGCCATGGAAAAAGCTGCTGTGGAATTTCCACATGCTATGATCCTCGGTTGCAAAGCCATGAACAGACCTGTTGTCGTGCATATCAATCCATCACAATTTTTCAGCAGTATGTTTTTCAAACTCACCATTTCATCATCGTCATCATCATCAACCCCACTAACACAATATAATAATACCAGAACAACACGATACTGTTGTTCTTTCTGCTAGACTAGATTCATACAACTACACTTGCCCACTTCTTTATCAAAACAAAACATTTAATATTTGTCAACCAAAGCTAACAAAGAATCGGAAAAGATTTCCTGCTCCCTCTTTTTCTTTTCCAAGAAAACAAAGGTCAGAACATGTTAATGCCTTCCTACTTCTTTACACTAATTAATTATACTTTACCAAATAAAGTTATTTTCCCATACACGAAGGACGACCACTGTCTATACTTACCAAGACTAAACATGGCCATCCCAAGCCCTGCATCTGACAATATGGAAATGGACTTGGCAATAATCATAGGCATTTCAACGTTCCACCTGCCAACATACCATACCACCAAACAAACACAACAATAATAATCAATTAAACGAATCATGAGAACGAAAATGTTGAACAAGGAAAAGACTTACCTGAATGAAATAAGTGACCATGTTAAGCCGATCAGGCTGGAGTAGGTGTTGGGGTTTCTGATGAGTTTCCTCCACACCATGATCAAAATAAGCCGTGTCATTACACTCGTTGGAGGCATAGCTTTTTGATTTCCGTTCCCAGCTTTCTCACCTTCATGCTCATTCTCAGCCCCTCTGTTTCCAAAACTAAAACTGTCTTTCTCAAGGTAGTCTTCTTGACCGTCTCTGTTACCCTCCACTGTCGATCACAACGACCATAATGATAAACAACCAAACTAAGATTAAGGTAGAAATGTATTAGAATGTATACACACACATATATATTTGAAAGCAAAACCTTTTTTGGGAGACACGGCGAGCTTAACTTCTTTATGGTCGTTTTCATGTCCGGCAAACACATCGGAAACAGGGGAAGCACTTGAACTCCAAACGAACATATGAAGTTCCTTGCTTGAATCCTCTGGTTTGGGGTGGGCGTGGGGGTGTCCATTGGGCTTCTTGGGACCATTTTTATACGTGGCGGGGGAGAAGATGCCGGGGTTAGGAGCAGGGTAATGATGTCTGGGTTTGTCGTTGTTGTTAGTATTAGCAGCGGTGGAAGCATCTTCGTCGTAATTGGAAGGTCTGGGAGTGGGTCCTCTGGAAGCAGAGAAGCCATAAACGTCATTGGTAGCGAAGTTGGAGTTACGAGGAGGGGCCATCATGGAGTAAAAGTCGGAGTGGTTGAAGCTGGAGGCTCTGGGAGTAGGGTTGGTGGAGGATTGGAGCGAGTAAATCTCTGCATTGGTGAGGTTGGAAGGGCGAGGAGTGGTGGAAGAGAAGCCCTGGGACCTTCTAGAAAAGATGTCGGATCTGGAGGCGTTGGATTTTCTGACGGTGACGTGGAGCTTTCCGTCCTCTTTGATTTGGGTTTGGGTTTCCAAGGGCTGTCGTCCATCAAGCGACATGACGTCGGAGTCCACGTGGATGGAGACAATGGTGGCGCCAGTGTCTGGAAACTGCTCAGAGATCAACATTCTGGCGCCTCTGTACTCGAACATGAACAACATCAAGGTGTACCAGATGATGCACTGGAGTACCACTATCTGGACCATCAAACTCCCCGAGAACTCCCCGTACATTCCTTTTAGTAACGGAATGCCCATCACCAGCGTGTTCGGGAGGGTGGAGATGGAGAAGAGCGTTATGGTCCACTCCAAACTCCCCCTCTTGCTCACGTTGCTCCAGATCGTCAGCACCACCAACACGATCATCTTCTGCAGCGTGTCCGCCGCGATGAACCGGAAGTTCATCTCGTAGGGGTTGTTCGACGCGATGAAGTGGAAGGAGAGTAGCGGGACTGCAAACAGAGCCACGAAGCGGTTTATGCCGGAGCATTGGTCCGGGGAGAAGATTTTCCACCATTTCACCGAACCATAAGCGAGTATCATGGCCACATACAGTGGCAGCATTGCGGTCATGACGTGGTAAAAGTCGGCCAAAGTGATCATTTTGTTCTTCCTTCGGATGGTTGAGTGAAGTGAGTTTGGAGAAAGAAGAAGAGAGGTTTATGAGAGAAGGTGGGAGAGAAGGACAAAGTTGGTGGGGAGAGAGAGAGAAGGTAAAGACGATGATGAAGTTGATGAAGGAGAGGCAGAGCACGTGTGTCTGGTTTTTGAGGTGGTGTGGAAGTGGGGTAATAATGAAAATACAACAAAAATATTTTCATCTTCGAGAGGTACGTGCGTGCAACGAGCTTCCACTTGCAGTTCAGTCCCCAACACAGAGAGAGAAGGGGCTGGGGATATTGTTAATTATTTTTTTTCCAAAATTCTTTGTGTTTTTTTTTCTGCCCCAACATTAAAAATAAGTATTCACGTTGGTATTTAAAAAAATAAAATCAACATATTTTAAAACATTAAAATCACTGTTCTTCTTTAGTATATTTTAAAAATCACAGAAAAAAAAATCCAGCAGCAAATTTAAATTTAAAAAACAGATTTTTATGCAGACATTTTGGTCAAAAGTACTTTATCCATGTTTGCTTAAACATTAGAAAGTTGATGCTCGCAATTATATAATAAATATGGGTATTAATGTAAACTTATGATCGGACTTAATTTAGTTATATACTTCTTATTCGCACCTTAATAATGTATTTATTGAAAGTAATGAATATGTCAGTAATTGAAAAAAATAACTGAAATATCAATGTGAAGGTGTTACTGGTTTGGTTATTTGCATTGCTACTTTTTTTCACTTTTGCTAGACATGGTTAAGTCTTAGTTATTTCAGTTTAAGAAAAACATCGAGAAATCTTTTGGTAGTTAATTACAAGTTTATATAAAAAATGACTTTTGCACCGTACAAAATTTCTTTCAATATTTGTTATTAATGTTCAGGCTTACACACTATTCATAAAATTAATTAAGTTATTTGTTCCTTTTACTTTTATATAAATAGTGATTAAGAAAAAAAAGAGGAAATAGTAGTATATATGATATATGTATCTCCTATAAGGGATAAGTGAAGCGTGCATGGAAGTTAATGATGGAAGACATTGAAGAGAGCAGAGGATGAAATGGGAAGAGTAGTTAGATAATGAATTCTCCAATTTCTAAACGCCATGCTTAGTTGCACGCACTACCACGGCTTTTTATGTTTCCTAAGACCATAAAACCAGTGCATGCATTTCGATTTCAACTCCTTTGTCTTATTTACCTCTTACCTACTCCATTCCTTCAACCAATGTCTAAATATTTTCTTGCCCAACCACCCATATTTCAAACACATTCCTTCAGTCAATTTCGTACACATCACACTTCCCCTTTCATCTTCCAACACCTTCTATCTCTTCAATCCACAAATTTAAGTTTACTTCCAATCTCAAAATCCATTCAAGTGTTCTTGAATTGAATCATGACATTTTTTTTATCTTTAGCGAATGATAAAAGTCTAAATTAATTAACATATATTATAAAATTGACCTTCACCATTCAAACATGTTTGTTACCTTTGTAAACCATGATTTAGTGATTAAACGAGAATTAAAAAGCTGTAAAATATATACAAGAAATAGCATATAAGCAATGTTATGAGTGGAAAACGCCATAGATTGGCTGGCCTCTCGTGAAGCCTACAATATTACACTAGAAATGGGAGAAAAAAAAGTAAAATGAAATTATATAAGTAGAGTTGAAGAAATTTTTGGCGTAGGAAGCAGGCATGAATCTTAAAGAAAATTCACAATCCCTTGGCCCCAGGAAGATCAATCCATTCCAATTGAAGTTCCAGCTCACCGCTTTCCACGTGTCTTAGTCTCAGAACAACATCTTGCAGCACTTTACCATTCTCAAAAACCACGCAACTTTCCTCCGCCAGGCAGTTTTGTCTACACGGATGTATTCTCGTGATTATGGTTCCATTCGGAAGATCTTCCACCTTCATCTTCACGGCTTCTATATACGGTGAGATATCCAATTCCGCATCTCCCATTTTGTCATCCATGGAGAAAGTGTCATGATCATACACGGTCTGAAATTATTAATCAGTATTAAAATGCATCAACCAAACCGAAATAATAACATTATTTTTTCTTCTGTTATGTAGTTTTACCAGTATCACTGGAGCAGAGGGATCTGTCACAGAAAGCGTAAGATCTTCGTTCCACTCAGGGTTAATGTCCTTTTTAATCACACGAGTCTTGAGCCTCTGCAGAAACAGGTGACGATTGAGTTCGGATAATTAAGAAAATGCTTGGTGGATTATATTAAAAGAAGAGACCTGTTTATCCATCTTAACGACGACGTATGGATCGCTGGTGCTGACATTGCGAATGGCGAGGTTGACGCCACGCTTGACGTGAATTCTCAGAAGGCCGAGTAATTCATCCATGTTTGAGACTGGTGTACCTCCCAATCACTGTCTCCCTCCTCCTGGCGATAATATTGTGTAATTTATTGGTGTAATTGCTATAATTAAGAGGAAGAGAGAGATGGAACGTTTGTGTGATTGATTGTGAGAGATACAGATTGACGCTGGCTAGGGTTGGATTGGTTTTATAGAAGAGAGGAGAGTGGTTGAAGGTAGTCTCCTTGCACCTTCAACGTGTACGATGTTCCCCGCTACTCTCCTCCGATTTTGTGGTTCTCTTTTCACAACCCTTGCTTTATTTTATTTTATGGAACTGGAATTTCTTTCTAAATATAATAGAAAGTCATTTAAAATTTACCAAAATAAAATAGTGATTTCCAAGATTGTTGAGGTGTGCCAAAGTATTGTGGGGGATGCATCAAGAGAAAGCCCAAACTGGGCCCGGCTCCAGTATATAACTTTTCAATTGGGCCCGGCTAATGATGGATTCCTCCAAACAGAAGAAAAGGAAGTGGCGGGAGATTTCTTTTCCCGCGCGATGGAAATGGAACCCTGGGAAGCCCTTGGCGTCGATGAGTCCGATCTCTCCGCCTTCCTCCGCCCTTGCAACGCCCAATCCAGCTCCTCTTCCCTCATTCCTGGCCCTGCCGGCGCCGTCCAAGCCGTTATGAGCAACCGCTGTCTCGACGACCCACTTCCCACTCAGGAATTCATAAGGCGCGTCGGCCTCGAAAGCCACCGCGATTTCGGCACCAATCCCTGGCTCTGCGCCATCCAATTTGTGCGCTCGCAGGGTATGGTTGACGCTGATGACGTCTCACACGGCACGCCGTTGAACTCGATCAAGAACACTGAAAGAGTGCCGCTGGTCGTAGCTGTTATCAAATCCTGCACTCCCAACGGTCTTGGTGACATGAAGATTACGCTCAAGGTACTCGCTCTACTTTTACTCTCTCTATCTATAGATGTATGTAACTGCTTTCATATGCGTTTCATGAGAAGATTCATATGAATTTCCCATTTCAGGATCCTACGGCCACTGTTAGTGCCAGTGTCCATCGCAAAGTCTTGGCGCAGCCGGAATTTGGGAAGGACTTCGCTGTTGGTTCTGTCGTGGTTCTGCGCGAGGTCTTTCTCCTTGATACTGCTTCTTCTGTGTCTGTCTCACACCTTTTCAATTCTTACATTTAATTCTATTATACTTTACAGGTTGCTGTGTTTTGTCCTACCCGCTCTACCTGTTATCTGAATGTAACATTACGCAACGTTCTACAGGTAAGCCGTAGGGTCGTCTCTGTTTTTCATTTCAGGTTACTCCCAATTAGTTAATGAATTCAATTCCACGTTCTAGACGAGTTAGGTTACTTTATTTATAGAGTTTAGTTTTCATCCATTGTGAATATAACATTGTTTTGGCTGTTTATTAGTAAGAAACATAATATTATGTTTTTTAAGTTAGTTCTTTAGGAACGACAAATTTATCATATTTGTCAGTCTATGATTAGATGACACTGGTCAATACACTATCTTCTCTTATTAAGTTTAATTTATGTGCATTGTCAACGTAGATCAATCAGAAATCTCAGTAGATATGACTTTCAAGGTATTTATTGCAAAAATAGATAGACTTGATACATTTATCAATTTATGATTGGATGAAAAAATTGTATAATCCTTTTTCTATACATATGCTTATGTTCAGGAATACATAGCTTGTTAATATGTTACACAGGTCTTCTCCAAGGACTGTGGACCTCCATCAGAACAATTAATACATCCTGTACGCCCAGTGATACGCGCTACACCTAGTACGGGTAGGTGCACATCTATGAATCAAGTATTCCTGAACACATTTTTTGTGCGTAATTGATAATGCCGAGCTATTGGAAACTCATACATGGCTCTCTTTGCAACAGAAAGGCCTGAAAGGTTGTTTGCATCTGGAAGTACATCCTCTCCGCCCCTGGAAAGAAATGTAGAAATCATGTCTGGTCTCAGATTTGAGTCAAGCTCTAGACAAGTAGCAGATATTGACCGGCAGCGAGCTGAAGTTTTGGCTTCAACGTCGTCTCACAGAGAAACTGTTTCAGAAAGAGAGAACTTGCCGTTAAGTCTGGATAATGCTGGACATGTGGAAGTAAATTGTGTTAGTGAGCTTGATAGTGAGATGGAAGATCAACCCAATCCTCCTGAATTGAATGAAGAAGCCGATAGTTTAGCGCAGATTGCTCAAGGCAATAGTTCTACATCGAACTCAGTTCATACATCTCGTGCTGAAAAAACTGAGATGGAAATTCAGTTGGAAAGTCAGAGGCAGATGGATAGTCAAAGAAGTTCAGTCCCCCATTGGACAGACGAACAGCTGGATGAGCTTTTGGCGTTTGATTGAGGTAACAATTTCTGTTTGTCAAATCAAAAGTATACTATAGGATGATGGTATATCCCCAGTTCGCATATTTGCATTTTAAAGATGCATGCGTTTGGTAAATATGTGCAAGAATACATTCATTCATAGATGAGAACTGGCTTGTCTCTAATTCCATTTAGGAATGTTACAGGTGTTTGCATTTTGTTTTTCTTTTGCACTATTAATCGTGCTTTATTTTATTTTTCTTTTATATAGAATAGTTAGGTGTTTATTGTTTTGATTATTATACTACTTCATTGCTATCCTTGTGCCCTTTTAATTATTATACTACTTCATTGCTCAACCAACTATTTTAATTATTAAGATGTTTGTATTATATAGTATAATATTTTAATGAAATGTTTACTATTTTAATTGTAAAAAAAATCATATAATTATAATTTTTTACATTCCTTTTAATTTTCAAATAGTTTAACAATTTTTTTTATCAAACACTTATAGGTAAATATGTTACTTCATTGGTTTCTAGCTATTGCGTATTATTTAATCTAAACACAGTCACTAAGAGAATATACCACATTCATGTTAAACATTTATCAAACAATAAAATGAATACAGATAAACTGTTATTTCAAATACTTTTTTGCATATTTTCTATCTTATACTATTTTAGTTATTACATTCTTTATTTTAGTTTTTAATAATATATTTTCTAAAATCATAAGAATTCAAAATTTGCAAAAAACTAAAACATCAAATAGTAAGAAGAATGTCAAAAATATAAGTTTATATAAAAATATATAATTATAATTTTTTACATTACATTTTTATTATGGTAGCTTAACACCTTTTACCAAAAACTTCGAGGTAAATATGATAGTTTATTGGTTTCTAACTAGCATTTTAGTTAACAATTATAAACACAATAAGAGCATATCCATTTTAAATAATTTTCATCCTAATATTTAATTGTTTTGCGCGTATTTACAAAAACATAAAGCCTGCATTTAAGCAATTCAAATCCCTATCAAATTGGAAAAGTTGATATTTCTTACTAGAAAAAGACAAGGGCAGAAACATTTTCAGAAGCTCTCTAGTAGCTTTCCTTTTCTCTTTAAAGACAGCTTTTCCATCGCCTTTAAAATACATTTAATTACCTTGTCAATTTAGAGAGGCAAAATGGATTTTCTAGAGNGCGATAATATTGTGTAATTTATTGGTGTAATTGCTATAATTAAGAGGAAGAGAGAGATGGAACGTTTGTGTGATTGATTGTGAGAGATACAGATTGACGCTGGCTAGGGTTGGATTGGTTTTATAGAAGAGAGGAGAGTGGTTGAAGGTAGTCTCCTTGCACCTTCAACGTGTACGATGTTCCCCGCTACTCTCCTCCGATTTTGTGGTTCTCTTTTCACAACCCTTGCTTTATTTTATTTTATGGAACTGGAATTTCTTTCTAAATATAATAGAAAGTCATTTAAAATTTACCAAAATAAAATAGTGATTTCCAAGATTGTTGAGGTGTGCCAAAGTATTGTGGGGGATGCATCAAGAGAAAGCCCAAACTGGGCCCGGCTCCAGTATATAACTTTTCAATTGGGCCCGGCTAATGATGGATTCCTCCAAACAGAAGAAAAGGAAGTGGCGGGAGATTTCTTTTCCCGCGCGATGGAAATGGAACCCTGGGAAGCCCTTGGCGTCGATGAGTCCGATCTCTCCGCCTTCCTCCGCCCTTGCAACGCCCAATCCAGCTCCTCTTCCCTCATTCCTGGCCCTGCCGGCGCCGTCCAAGCCGTTATGAGCAACCGCTGTCTCGACGACCCACTTCCCACTCAGGAATTCATAAGGCGCGTCGGCCTCGAAAGCCACCGCGATTTCGGCACCAATCCCTGGCTCTGCGCCATCCAATTTGTGCGCTCGCAGGGTATGGTGGACGCTGATGACGTCTCACACGGCACGCCGTTGAACTCGATCAAGAACACTGAAAGAGTGCCGCTGGTCGTAGCTGTTATCAAATCCTGCACTCCCAACGGTCTTGGTGACATGAAGATTACGCTCAAGGTACTCGCTCTACTTTTACTCTCTCTATCTATAGATGTATGTAACTGCTTTCATATGCGTTTCATGAGAAGATTCATATGAATTTCCCATTTCAGGATCCTACGGCCACTGTTAGTGCCAGTGTCCATCGCAAAGTCTTGGCGCAGCCGGAATTTGGGAAGGACTTCGCTGTTGGTTCTGTCGTGGTTCTGCGCGAGGTCTTTCTCCTTGATACTGCTTCTTCTGTGTCTGTCTCACACCTTTTCAATTCTTACATTTAATTCTATTATACTTTACAGGTTGCTGTGTTTTGTCCTACCCGCTCTACCTGTTATCTGAATGTAACATTACGCAACGTTCTACAGGTAAGCCGTAGGGTCGTCTCTGTTTTTCATTTCAGGTTACTCCCAATTAGTTAATGAATTCAATTCCACGTTCTAGACGAGTTAGGTTACTTTATTTATAGAGTTTAGTTTTCATCCATTGTGAATATAACATTGTTTTGGCTGTTTATTAGTAAGAAACATAATATTATGTTTTTTAAGTTAGTTCTTTAGGAACGACAAATTTATCATATTTGTCAGTCTATGATTAGATGACACTGGTCAATACACTATCTTCTCTTATTAAGTTTAATTTATGTGCATTGTCAACGTAGATCAATCAGAAATCTCAGTAGATATGACTTTCAAGGTATTTATTGCAAAAATAGATAGACTTGATACATTTATCAATTTATGATTGGATGAAAAAATTGTATAATCCTTTTTCTATACATATGCTTATGTTCAGGAATACATAGCTTGTTAATATGTTACACAGGTCTTCTCCAAGGACTGTGGACCTCCATCAGAACAATTAATACATCCTGTACGCCCAGTGATACGCGCTACACCTAGTACGGGTAGGTGCACATCTATGAATCAAGTATTCCTGAACACATTTTTTGTGCGTAATTGATAATGCCGAGCTATTGGAAACTCATACATGGCTCTCTTTGCAACAGAAAGGCCTGAAAGGTTGTTTGCATCTGGAAGTACATCCTCTCCGCCCCTGGAAAGAAATGAAGAAATCATGTCTGGTCTCAGATTTGAGTCAAGCTCTAGACAAGTAGCAGATATTGACCGGCAGCGAGCTGAAGTTTTGGCTTCAACGTCGTCTCACAGAGAAACTGTTTCAGAAAGAGAGAACTTGCCGTTAAGTCTGGATAATGCTGGACATGTGGAAGTAAATTGTGTTAGTGAGCTTGATAGTGAGATGGAAGATCAACCCAATCCTCCTGAATTGAATGAAGAAGCCGATAGTTTAGCGCAGATTGCTCAAGGCAATAGTTCTACATCGAACTCAGTTCATACATCTCGTGCTGAAAAAACTGAGATGGAAATTCAGTTGGAAAGTCAGAGGCAGATGGATAGTCAAAGAAGTTCAGTCCCCCATTGGACAGACGAACAGCTGGATGAGCTTTTGGCGTTTGATTGAGGTAACAATTTCTGTTTGTCAAATCAAAAGTATACTAGAGGATGATGGTATATCCCCAGTTCGCATATTTGCATTTTAAAGATGCATGCGTTTGGTAAATATGTGCAAGAATACATTCATTCATAGATGAGAACTGGCTTGTCTCTAATTCCATTTAGGAATGTTACAGGTGTTTGCATTTTGTTTTTCTTTTGCACTATTAATCGTGCTTTATTTTATTTTTCTTTTATATAGAATAGTTAGGTGTTTATTGTTTTGATTATTATACTACTTCATTGCTATCCTTGTGCCCTTTTAATTATTATACTACTTCATTGCTCAACCAACTATTTTAATTATTAAGATGTTTGTATTATATAGTATAATATTTTAATGAAATGTTTACTATTTTAATTGTAAAAAAAATCATATAATTATAATTTTTTACATTCCTTTTAATTTTCAAATAGTTTAACAATTTTTTTTATCAAACACTTATAGGTAAATATGTTACTTCATTGGTTTCTAGCTATTGCGTATTATTTCATCTAAACACAGTCACTAAGAATATACCACATTCATGTTAAACATTTATCAAACAATAAAATGAATACAGATAAACTGTTATTTCAAATACTTTTTTGCATATTTTCTATCTTATACTATTTTAGTTATTACATTCTTTATTTTAGTTTTTAATAATATATTTTCTAAAATCATAAGAATTCAAAATTTGCAAAAAACTAAAACATCAAATAGTAAGAAGAATGTCAAAAATATAAGTTTATATAAAAATATATAATTATAATTTTTTACATTACATTTTTATTATGGTAGCTTAACACCTTTTACCAAAAACTTCGAGGTAAATATGATAGTTTATTGGTTTCTAACTAGCATTTTAGTTAACAATTATAAACACAATAAGAGCATATCCATTTTAAATAATTTTCATCCTAATATTTAATTGTTTTGCGCGTATTTACAAAAACATAAAGCCTGCATTTAAGCAATTCAAATCCCTATCAAATTGGAAAAGTTGATATTTCTTACTAGAAAAAGACAAGGGCAGAAACATTTTCAGAAGCTCTCTAGTAGCTTTCCTTTTCTCTTTAAAGACAGCTTTTCCATCGCCTTTAAAATACATTTAATTACCTTGTCAATTTAGAGAGGCAAAATGGATTTTCTAGAGCCATTCCTCCACTGCTCCAAGAGGCACTTTCGGAGGTAAATAACAGCTTAACACTACCGAATGAAAGAGTTCAACTGCGCAAAGTAATAAAGGACCAGCGACGTACGATCCATTTTTAAGAAAAATGCACAGCTGTAGTCATAATAAGCACTAACAAATGGGGAACATCAGCTGGGCAAAGATTATAAAACTGTGAAAGTACAATGGAGAAACAGTTAAACACCGAGCTATAGTCCTACGAACCGCCTCACTTGACTGATTACAATCCGAATATATTTACCTCCAGCAAAATTGGGACTCATTCTGGCAATAAATACGTAACTTTTGTCAAAAGAACCTGAAGAAGGGATGGTACGATACATGCTTTCCATGTCTAAGAATTGATATGCCTCAAAGCACAAAAGAATCATTATCATTTTGCAGAAATCACATGCGGATTACTCTTCTATTATTGTAACTAGAAACTCACTAATCGTCTCAGCGCTTATAGGTCACCAGCACCACCAACAATGAATTGAAGACCCTTATCCCATGCCAAAATTATGTACCTACTGGAATAGCTTCCTCAACCTATCAGCCGCTGCAGATGCCCTTTTGTTGGTCGGCTCAAGTACAAGAGCATGCTTAAAATCTGCAAAGCACAAACCATTGTTAGCAAAAACGCAGGAAAATTTTCCTATCTTACCTAAAATGAAAACAATCCCAATAAAACAAGATGAACCCTGTCAATATGTTCTAATTTGAAAGTGAAACTCCAAATTTCATCACATTATTTTAAACTACATAAAATGTGTGTGAAGTTCGGCAGTCCAATATTTGATTTTCCATTTCAAATTAAAAATATATATATATACTAAAAACAAAATGATAACACCTAATCAGAATCAAGGAAATACAGGCTCTGGGACAGATTTAATTCCTAATACATGCAGTGGGCCACTTCAAATAAAAGTTTCCAAAAACTACTCTAATCAAATAAGAGTTTGTGTTTTCTATTCTCAAAACCAGCAAAGTATAGACCCCATGCTTGATGTAATACTTATATTTTAAAAACTTAAAGAAAAGATGAATTCATGCATGCGTTTAAAAAAAAAAAAGGAAACGTGTGGTATAACGCATTGATATTCCTTCTCAATTTTTCTAATGAAATAATAAGATGCAAAAAAAAAATGTCAGAAAGAATGAAAAGATTTTACCGTCAATTGCTTCCTTGTAGTAGCCTAGCATCTCTCTAGATGTACCTCTACGAAAATAGGCCTTCACATTCTGGGTAAAAGGCATAATAAACACGTTACTATAAAATTCTTATGGTATAATCTACGAATTAAACAGTATGAAACATCATTTTTCCTGCTTTATTCCATTAAAGACACTATCATCTTTCTCTGTTTTCTCTTTATTAAACTAAATCTGGAAGCTGATGCAAAGTTGTTATACAACTCAAATGTCTTTGTAATTATATAAAGACTTTATTTTAGTATGGCAAAGAATAGTGGTTAGTCTTCAATCACAAAGCTTTATATTTTAAACCCATGCATATTTGGAATGAAGACAAGCTTTTGCAAGACTATGATGACAAAATCCATGCACAATGTTTTTTTTAAGGAAGTCACCTTTTTGTCCAGACTAATTGCCTTGGTACAATCGGCCTCAGCTTGAAGATAACTGGATAAACAGAGGAAACAAATCAAGATTTTGCCTGACACTTTCAACTAATGGCCAGAAGAAAACACTACCTTCCATGTTCTAGATACGCTTGAGCCCTGTTACTATAGTACGTTGCATTATCACTACAGAGTTTGATAGCTTCTGTGTAAAATCCAATGGCTTTCTGCCACTGCCTATCTTTATATGCTTGATTTCCCTGACATTAGTAGCAAAACAATATAGAATAGAGGGTTTAGCTGAAAATAAATGCAATACTCAGAATTAAACAGCCAAAATTACCATATTTGATTTAACAAAGAATAAAAAAAAATTCTCCTAAATGGACTAAAGTTTAAATTATGTAAGTAAAGTTCACCTCCATTATTAGGATAGATAGTTAAATCTAAAACAAAGGACAACATCGGGGACTGCAAAGGCAGAATTATAGCGTCCCAAAGCAAAGTTTAACTATACGTTTGACATTAATGAACTAATGAAAGTTATCTTTTAGTTTACATAATTCTGGCATATAGTATTTTCATGAAAGACAAGATTATGTCAAACCAGAAACAAGAACTCTCCTACATAAAAACTACGAAAACCAATATTAAAATTTATAAGATGCTTGCAATGTTACTGTACTCATACATCAGATCAGACGAAAACAACAGAAGTTAATGTAAGTTTGCCAATTAGCTACAACTTTGATGAACATACACCAAATGAAACTTGTAAAAAATCCATCATTAATATGCATCAATATCAGATTGAAGTCTACGCATCAACCACAGAAAGGAAAAAACGAACTTGATACCAAAATCCAACATATTTTCTGATAAGTTTAGATAAAATAACCAAAAAAATGTGGCTCACAACATTCAGTTTTCAAAATCATTGGTGTTCTAGAAGTAAAACAGTGGCAGTTGAATTGTACGATCACAGTTAAAATCAGAGGATTGAGTTCATAATTTATTTAATGTCATACCTTCTCTTTAGCGAACTCAGCAGACTGCTCTTTACTGACAACATTTTCAGATGGTTTGCTTTTGGAAGCAATATCAGCCAGTTCTTGGAGAGTGGTATAGACGGTCTGTAGTGTGTCAAGTAAAAATCGATCACCACCATGCCTGGCTATCAAAGACACTGAAATAGGGTACTTGTCATAAAATCCCAATGGTATTGAGACCTGAAAGGATAAATCAAGAAAACACAAATGAAAAATGCATAACCACCATCACCACCAAAGCTTTACTCACTAGGTTCTCGTAAAAGTATAATTAAAAGTATAATTCTACACCAATAGAAAAGAACAGCTTACGTGTAATGTTGATTTAGGAAACAATTTGCTGAAATGTTTATCTGGCAACAGCCTGAGATGCTTGCAATACTCAACAGACTAGATGCTCGGCTCTGATAATCATCTGATAAGATCTCCTTCCCACCTAATTTTGGAGGTGGATCAGCTACTGTGGGGATAACCAAAATTCCTTCATCCTTGAAAGTGTTAAAAAATATGCAACTCAGCACAACAATGTCTTGTTTATAAGGAACTCAGGATATAGTCCTCATACATAGAGAACATAAAACTTCATGGAAGAACATCTACAGGAACTTGACTTTATTTTTAGCAAGAAAAAAAATTATCAAGACACTGTTTAAGATCAAATACTTCAGAACATGTAAGTCAAATTCAATTGAGAAGGCATAAAGAATAACACAAAAATAAGGGCTTGAGGAGACTAGGGTGCAGAATGGTGTCAAATTATTACCTTCAAAAGCAAATTTATAGCCGAACGCATCTCACTTCTGATGGATTTGGAATTTTCAATCTCTACACCGGATACCTCAAATTTTTCATGCAATTGTACTGAAACAGAAGGACTTAGGTCAGGTTTTACAGTGTTCATCCACTCATCATGTGTATGTTTGAATTCATGCCTGCACAAATATACAGAAAATAGTCACTATATGATTGAAGACTTCGGCGGACAGTCATAATAACACAACAAATGTTAATTATTCACACCCAGAATGATGAATAATAATTGAAAACAGAAAGTATGACATGGCTACCTTGTGGTTAGCCCAAATGTTAGTAATAGAGTATGTGATACAATCCCAAAGAAAAGTTTTCTATATGACAGATTGAAAAGCATGCCATTATCCAAACTAGTGTTAACAACAGTTTGCAAATTATTATAGTTACTCCATATCACAGAATCTGACTAACCTTTGTAGGGATTGCATAATGTTAGCAAGTAACTTCAGTGAAGAAGCTTTCACTTCACCGTTTGTTTTCTGACCAGAACACCCCTTCAAGCTTGGAACCCTCGAACTTATATAGTCCCCAAGATTTATGTGCTTCAATACTTGCCCTGAAGACAGTTGACGATGAACAATAATTTTTGGATTGCTATTTCATGAATAAAGTTGTACAAACAAAGAAGCAGCGAGTGACAATTGTGGTAAGAGCTTTTAATAATGATTGAAACAAGAGGGACCATATTAAAGGGAAAGATGACGTACTTCCAAAAAGCTTCTCAGTAGCTTTGACCACCACTTGAGAACTCCTGTCAAGAGGAACATTTATATGCTGAAAACAATCATCAGCTATAATTATTTGTCTAGGACTGCGTTGAACTACAAATGGTGCTTGTAAGAGTATATGGCCAACTCGACGCAATATAGAGGGATCCTTTGCAAACCAACCTGAAAATGGCATTTCAGAGTTAAAAATTTGTAAAGTGCAGCAGATGGCATATTAATAGCCTCCACATACAAAAATTTAAGTACAGGCAACTATACAAAAAATGTCTCAATGTATAACAATTATAAGAGTACATCTGTTCTTCCTCTTCCTGGTGTATTTTTGCATTGCCTTAATTTGTATTTAAATTTCAAAAGATCTTGTCCACTGAGAAATATTTAAAAAACAAAAAGGCCCAACATAATAAACAAAGGCAACCAAGCAATTTATCCTTATATCACATAATAATAATAATTATTCAAAATAAATAAATTAAACAGTCACTTGAACCCATAAGCTCATAAACTAAACTACATTAAAAAATTTGAATTGTCCATACCAACAGTGTCCAGACTTGTTGAGATAGGTATGATTCCCAAATGTGAAACAGCACCATGTGAGGGTCGAAATCCTAGAATGCCACAAAATCCAGCAGGTACCCTCACCCCACCAGTAGTATCAATACCTGTTGTAAATGACGGTGCGTAAGTATAAAAAACATTCTCCATTGCATCGTATAAACGTGTAACCCTCAGATATCACCAGGAAGACAATTAAACTGGCAAATTCTTCAAATAATTAGTTATTGTTACGAAGATAATTAAAAATACAAGAAAAGAAAGATGGTATGTATTGATTACAATATAACTAGAAGAATTCTCCTAACTAAACGTTTGGATAAACAATACCATAACCACTTGCGGGAAAAGAAAATAAGATAAAAGTTTATCCCATACGCTAGCTAAAATCAGTAAGAGTAGCAATGAAGTAACGATTTGCACGTCAAAAAATGGATAATAGGCAATAAATAATATATGAAGAAGCTCACCCAATGCAAAGTCAACGAAATTGGCAGCAACAGCCACAGCAGCACCACTGGAGGATCCACCCGGTACTCGTGCAGGTGCAGCGGGATTAGTCGGTGTTCCATAATGCCTATTCTCACCACCGATACTGAAAATTAAAAAGAAAAGGTCAAACAACTCATGAAATAGCAAAACAAAACTCAAACCCCTACATGCAAAACAAGAGCACATCGTTTACACCACTCTCTCACAGGCATGCGAATAGTATGTTGCGATGTAATTTTTTGGAAGGAACTGAAAAAAAAAAGGACAAACCCTAGAGCAAAGTCATCGACAACGGTAGTTGCAACGCAGGTGGCGCCTCCTTCGACGAGAGCAGAAACCGCGGGAGAAGTGGAAGAAGCGGGCTCGTGAGACCTAGCCCACTCGGGATGGCCGAACGTAGAGACACGTCCTTCGATGTCAAATCTGGAAAGAAAATCGAAATCAGAGGAAGATGAAAAATGCTGTTAAATAGTAAGAAATAAAGGAAAAGACAGAATAGCAGTGATTAGGTTAGGTTTACAAGTCGGAGAGTGCGAAAGTGAGGGCGGTGAGAGGATGAGGAGCTTTGGGAGGAGCAGGCTGCGGCGGCGGAAGGAGCTGAAGCTTCTCGAGAAAAGCGCCGAAATCCTCTCTGACAGACTTCTTGAGCTTTCTGGTGATTAGAAGAATTCCCGCTAAACCCAGCCCCAACAGAACCCATAGGTTGGCCGATTGAGTCGCCATCGATTGATTCGTTTGATGCGATACTCTGTTTCAACTCCACATCCGAAGCACAGCACTGCGTGTGTATGGTTTTACGAAGAAGACGCACGGAGAAGATAGGATTCTCTACTCTCGCCGCCTCGACTTCCTTCTATCTATCTCTCTTCCCTGTTAAAATAACTTCATTATATAACAACCACAACATCTTTTCCTATTGGTCTCTTCTATACTATAATAATTTAAATTAAATAACATCAACTGATTTAAAATATCTAGGTCGAATAATTTACATATTATTAATTACGTAAATTATTTTAACTATCCATTTAAATAACGTAAAGACTAATTTTTCTAATAAAGGTTGACATATGTTATCAATTAACTAATTTTTAATTAGGGCATAACAAAAATTTTACCAAGTTATTTTCTTTTTTAATTTTTTTTCTATTTTAACAAATATAAAATTAAAAATGAGTTGTCGAGTAGTAGTGTAGGTGGTGTAAAAAAAACTTTTTTTAATTATTATAATCATAATTAATTTCATTTCAAAACAATTAATTATCTATTGGGTTTTCAACTTGAGATTGATTAATTTTAGAAAATTACAAGTTGTTACTATTTGCAGTAATAAAAACTCTTACTTGATCTGTGTGTATCAAAAATAGAAAAATATACAAAATTGAAAGAAAAAAATGGTAAAAATAAATCATAATTTATAAATTTCAAATTCATAAAACTAATTACTTGTTTTACAACAAAATTACAAATTTAAATTTTTACCTCACGGGTACTGCCGAAAATACAGTTTTAATTTGAGTGACTGGTCAATTTTTTATAGATATTTTATTCTGATTGTATGTTTTCTACATAAAAACTAAATTTAAAAAAAAAAACTTGTTTGTAGGTGGAAATATCAAACAATAATCTCTTTAACTTATTAGAGTAGTTTTTTTAAATTTAAAATAAATATTTTTTAAAGGAACACTTACTCAATAAGCAAAGAGGATTTTCCCATTGAAGTAAAGGAAAGGTTACTTATTCTGAAATAAATAAATTAAATGACCAAATAGAAAAATATAAATCTATTTGTTTTATTTAATGAGTACTTTTAAAAAAAATAGAGACAAGAAGAGTCGTTAATATTTAATTAATTGTTGGTGTGATTAACATGTTAATTGTAAATTTAGTTAGTATTATTCTCTAATTAAAATAGTATGCTTCGTCGATAAGGTAAAATGGCAAGTAATTTTGATTTATCATTTATTCTTCTACTACTTATTGTTAAGTAAAGGAAGTATATATGTTAGGATCAACCACATAGTCAATTCATTTAGCTTCTTTTTTTTATTATAATTTAAGAAAGACTATAACAACTTTATTCATCGTTATAATTCAAACGTGGATGAATACATGTAGATTACACGTGTTCATGGAATCAATGTAAATCGTTTACTCTTTACTTATAGGTTATTAGAAATCTAAAACAATAGATTAAACACAATTTTTAAAAATAATTTGGACTTAAAAAAACTACCTATACCAAAAAAAACTAGCAAAATTTTCAAACCAAAATAATTATCTACCTTAAAAGAAACTATTTATGAAATGAATAAAAATTGTTTATAATAAAATAATTTTTGTGATATAATTACTAATTCACATATTTTATTATATTTAAAAAATAATGTTTATTATGAAATAATAATTTCGTAAAACATAATTTATTTATTCATGAATTGAAAAGACCTATTCTTATATCTATATTATGAATCTTAAATGTAGAATTTTAACTATTTTTTACCTGTATCTCGCTTTGAAACTCAGAATCTTATAATCAAAAGACAACTATGTGATTTTTGAAAGCTTCATAATGTCTCAAAGACATGTGAACCAAAACCAGTAAGAATGTTTTTTCTTTTGGAGTTTAGAGAAAAGCCTTTTTCTTTCGGATTTATAAACAAATAAATAAAATTTATCATTTCAGTTTTAATTTTCTTCCACATGCTGGGCAACCTAAAAGAAAATTTGATTTGTCGTCAAATAAAAACAAACTCACATCTCATCCTTGTTGCACTCCCACTCTCTTCTCTTCAGGTACCCTTTCCCCTTTCTATCTTTCTCTCCTTATTCGTGCCATTTCAATTTTTCATTCCTCATTTCATCTGCTAGTTATCACATTTCTTACCATCTATTCTGATCGATTGCTTTCTTTTCACCCATTTATGCCATTACCGTCTACCATCTCATCCTTGTTTTGCATCCAAACTTTCTGGATTCTGGTGGCTTCAAACCATTCCCTTCGGAACCTCTGTGTTGGGTGCAATGGAATTCACGAACTTTTTTTTTTCTTTTCAATTTCTGCTTTATATAAACATGCCCCGGATTCTACTTTTAGTTAAATTTTCGTATGAGTTGGCCTTTTTCCCGTGAAATCTAGAATTATACTATTTTCAGTCTTTGAACATCAGAAATCAGAATACACCATTTTCGTTTTTCCGTTGTTCATTTGAAGATTAAAGAGGGAATAAACCTGGTTAGACGTGTTTGAGGGGACAAGTCCTTTTTCAGCAGTTTCTTCCTCACCTATAATTTGCTTAGGTGTGTACTCGGCTGTGCAGCTTGCATATTCTTGGGGATCTTCATTTTTATCTAACCTGCTTTTCATCTTCTTTTGCTGTAATTTTTTTTTTCTGTTCTTCTTATGGTTGAAACGAACCCGACAGTTTGCATGGTTTTTTGCTCGATGAATGCATAGAACAGAGTTATGCTTTATGTCATTGCTATTTCACTCTATTTGTGATTATTGTAAGATTTGGTGTTTGTTTGGTTTTAAGTCGAGGAGAATTGAATATAACTGTTGAATTTAAGTCATGTATACATTGATATGAACCACGTATTTTTATTGGAAGTTTTGAGAGTTTATGTCCACTTCTCGTTGTCTATGTTTTAATATATCTGGCAGGATTAGAGGGAAGAGACTAAAAATGGTGAAACCAACATATGAAAGATTTTCAAAGGATTTTGTAATGGGAGGAGCAGCAGCAATCATATCAAAGACTGCTGCAGCACCAATTGAGAGAGTAAAGCTTTTATTGCAAAACCAAGGTGAAATGATTAAAAGAGGACAACTCAAAAGACCATACTTGGGCGTGTCTGATGGCTTTAAGAGGGTCTTCACAGAGGAGGGTTTGATTGCCTTTTGGAGAGGTCACCAGGCCAATGTTATCCGATACTTTCCCACACAGGTGAGTTATTCACTTCACTGGCATCCTGATTAGTGTTAAATAAAGACTAGTATCCTCACCCTCACCATTTATTTTTCTCTTCCTTTCAAGTTGTCACAACTGTGAGGTCAATGGGCTATTGTTTGTTAACTTTGTATTGTTTTGTTTTCGAGTTTTACCGAACACTTCCACTAAATGATATCAGGGAAGAGAAAAAGAAAACAAAAGAGTGAGTATGTTTAGTTATTGGGACTTCTGAGTGATGGGTTTAAACTTAACCATTGAATATCTGGGTAATTATTTCTCATGATATTCTCCAAAACGTCAAACCAAATATTATACTCATTCTTTTGTGCATTGATTTTGCATTCTCTGTCATCTAATTAGGTATTCAAATTAGAGGGAACATCTGTTAACTTATTTCCATCCTTTCTATATTCTCAAATAAATCATTATATACCTTATTTTGGAGCCTTGGCTTATTGTATTTTCCATTGCATGATGCATCTATAAGACTTTGCATCCAATCTCATTCTTTGATATATGATCGCTTCCAGTCTGTTCTGTTACGTTAACCTACAAGCTTGATTGCTTTATGCTTTTCCTGACAAATTGTCAATGCATGTCAAATATTATTAATAACCTGTGTGTTGTTTTTTTCATAAAATAATTCTCCACATATATGGAAAAAAAGATACATCAATTCCTGGAATCATGTGTCTCAAATAATAGTTTTTTATTATTAAAATAATATTTGAGCAAACAGTTAATTGGTCTATAGGCTTTCAATTTTGCATTCAAAGGTTACTTCAAAAGCATTTTTGGGTATTCCAAAGAGAGAGACGGGTACATTAAGTGGTTTACTGGGAATGTGGCTTCAGGCAGTGCTGCAGGAGCAACAACTTCAGTTCTACTATATCATTTAGATTACGCACGTACACGATTGGGCACTGATGCAATAGAGTGCCGCGGTACCAGTCAACGCCAGTTTAAAGGACTAATTGATGTGTATAGGAAGACCTTATCAAGTGATGGAATTGCTGGATTGTACAGGGGATTTGGCATTTCTATTTGGGGAATTGCCATGTATCGTGGGATGTACTTTGGGATCTATGACACCATGAAGCCTATTGTTTTAGTGGGGCCATTTGAGGTAAGAATTTTTGCCTTCTATTGCTACGGGGCTGGTGATATGTTTAGTCTGTTCCACAGTGGTGTGTGTGCTAAATATTGAAGTTCACATAGATTCTGCAGATTTGCATTGATAGTTGAATCCTTGAGTCTGAACATTCATTTTCAAGACGTAAGTCAAAAGCTTTTTTGGAAAAAAAGATTGCCATGTTTCCTTTGCAGTGTACTTATCGTAGATGCATCTCTTTATTGTATGGCACTTTCATGAATTTAGACTGTTGGTTCTGTTTGTTTATGCACAGTCTTTCCAATATGAGTTTCGGTTTATTTTCTGCAGGGGAACTTTCTTGCTAGTTTCTTCTTAGGGTGGAGCATCACAACTTTTTCAGGGGTTTGTGCATACCCTTTTGATACATTGCGCAGGAGAATGATGCTTACCTCTGGACATCCAAACAAGTACCGTAATTCAATACATGCATTTCGTGATATTGTTGGACAAGAGGGTTTCTTAGCTCTATTTCGAGGAGTTACAGCAAACATGCTTCTTGGTATGGCAGGAGCTGGGGTGCTTGCTGGATATGATCAGCTGAATAGCATCTCATCCAGACATAGTCACTATAACGAGACAAATCAAAGAGTTTTGAAATGAATGGCGGATTTGTAAGCGAGAAAACCATAATATAGAAAAGGAAAATTCATCATCTAGAATGCATATTATGCCTGTTTATTTCAAAGGTTTGATCTGAAGGATCATAACGGAGGTATTTGTTCTGTAAAGTTTAAACTAATCTATAGTTCCATAAGTAATCACATTTATCATGTCCAAAAGTTATGTGGTTTCTTAAAGGGAGTGTTGCATTTTGGGACCTTAAAAGTCATACTTATCTTATAGAATGAATACCGTGGGTGTTCATTTTAAAAATCTGGTCTCAAGGACCATAAATAGAGAAACTTTTGGACATGGTAGCCGAAGGCATTTGTTCTATGAACCGAACCAGGGTTCGATCCTTGAATAAGGTAGACTTGATTTTTAGGTCCTTATTAAATTCTGCCGTTTTAGTGGTGAAATTTAGATTTGATAAATTTTACTGCCTTGATGTAAATGTAACTGTTCACCTTTTGAAGTTATTTAGCTTGGGATCGGATTAGTTCAAGGATTAGTTCAAGCATAGGGAAATGTTATTTGGTAACGTTTCAAGACTGCAGAAACAGTCAACCCATCTGTCTGTATATAAAGAATGGTGTTCATATGGAGTATACAATGCATATTTACATTGCCTGCTTTAATTATCTGTATTAATACTATCCTTCAGATTTATCTATGGAAATTGCCTGGAGTAGAAGATTTATTCATATAGATGCATATCTCATGCCAATTGAGTATTTATACATCTTTTCCATAGCGGTTCACCGTTTCCAATCATTAACTGTTATTACTTGATATAAAATTACATTTTCACGATTTACGTGATATTCATTCCAATTCGATTGATGTATGAATATTCCCTCGGCAAACACCCTTACTTGCACGCTTGCACTATATGTACTATGCGGTGTCCAATGTCATGATGAGATGGCTGTATTGAAATATTATAAGAATTTACCAAGTTAGCTTACGAAATACTCATTCTGCGGTAAGTCTAGTATTTCGACAAAAATATAAGAAAGAAAACACATATGGAGGGAAGGGGGTCAACAGAAGCAATGCAACAACCACAACCTTCTAAAAGCCAAAGAACTGAATATTAAAGATTAAATACTGCTTGTAACATTCGAAGCATCAAGTTTGTCGAACGCTCTCAGCTCTCAGCACCCTCATTTTCCTCTTCTCCAGAATCATCATCATCACCAGCAGATGCATCCTGGTACTGTTGATACTCTGCAACAAGATCATTCATGTTACTCTCTGCTTCAGTAAACTCCATCTCATCCATTCCTTCTCCAGTGTACCAGTGCAAGAAGGCTTTCCTTCTGAACATGGCTGTGAACTGCTCACTCACTCTCCTGAACATCTCCTGTATGGATGTAGAGTTACCAACAAAAGTCGAAGCCATAGAAAGGCCTTTGGGAGGAATGTCACAAACACTAGACTTCACGTTGTTGGGAATCCACTCAACAAAGTAGGAAGAGTTCTTATTTTGTACACTCAACATCTGTTCATCTACCTCTTTTGTGCTCATCTTGCCTCTGAAAACCGCTGAGGCAGTCAAGTAACGACCGTGGCGCGGATCGGCTGCACACATCATGTTCTTGGCATCCCACATTTGCTGTGTCAGTTCTGGGACAGTCAATGCACGGTAGTTCTGCGATCCTCGAGATGTCAGAGGAGCAAAACCCACCATGAAGAAGTGAAGTCGCGGAAATGGGATCAAGTTTACTGCTAACTTTCTCAGGTCTGAATTGAGCTGACCCGGAAATCTTAAGCAACAAGTAACTCCACTCATTGTTGCTGATATCAAATGATTCAAGTCTCCAACTGCAAAAAGTTAGTTGAGGAAATGCTTATTAAGTAAAAGGAAGAACATCTTTTGCACAGGTGCTCATTAGTTCAATTCTACGGCAATTGTGCTTACAGCTTGGTGTACTGAGCTTGAGGGTCCTGAAGCAGATGTCATATAGTGCTTCATTGTCAAGGACCATACACTCGTCAGCATTCTCCACCAACTGGTGAACAGAAAGTGTAGCATTATAAGGCTCAACAACCGTGTCTGACACCTTTGGAGATGGAAACACAGAGAATGTAAGCATCATCCGATCAGGGTACTCCTCTCTTATCTTCGAAATCAGCAGAGTTCCCATTCCAGAACCCGTTCCCCCTCCCAAGGAGTGACACACTTGAAATCCTAGATTCAAAACCAGAACCGTAAAATACATAAATGTCTCATATTTTAATGAAACTGTCTAGCATGATGTTTGGTTACTTTTTTACCTTGCAAGCAGTCACAATTCTCAACCTCCTTCCTTACAACATCGAGGACAGAGTCAATAAGCTCAGCACCCTCAGTGTAGTGGCCCTTTGCAAAGTTGTTTCCGGCACCAGACTGGCCGAAAATAAAGTTGTCCGGCCGGAAAATCTGGCCATAAATGCCTGTGCGGGCAGCATCCATGGTACCAGGCTCAAGGTCCATAAGCACTGCCCGTGGCACGTATCGACCATTGCTGCCCTCATTGTAATAAACGTTCACTCTTTCAAGCTGAAGTTCGGTGTTCCCTACGTATTGCCCCGTAGGGTCAATCCCATGTTCATCACACACCACCTCCCAGAACTTTGTTCCTATTTGGTTCCCGCATTGCCCTCCCTGAATGTGCAGAATCTCACGCATTTTCTAGCTTGGCTTAGAAGGCAAAATTAACTCTTTGCACTTGGATTAAATAAGGAAAGAGGTTACATTTATAGATAAATGAAAATGGACCTAGTTACATGATTGCCCTTTGAAAATAAGCATGAAGTGAAGGTTGAGTTGGACTTGGATGAATGGTTGAATGCCATTTGTGAGATGCTACTTGCAACCTCGCCGGCATCACAAGAGGGTTACTATGTTTCCTGCTCAACTTGGTTTTTTTATTATACCACTGACGTACGCAAATATCAGAAGATTGGAAGCCACCATATAGTAAGTTAGCACAGAGGACTTACTCTTTTCAGTTTTTGGTTTTCTTAATATAACATCAGCATCTATTTTTACAATATAAAGGACTGGTCCATTTGAGAGACCCAAATGACTTATTTATTGTCTTTTATTTACAGTGGAAAGTGACTGCAACTTAAAGAAAGCATAGAATAGAAAATTGAAAAATAGAATCTGTTGGGTATGCTAAGGCCGGCAAGTTCTGATCAACGATGAGCATGCAGTAACTATCCAGCTTTCTTGCAATAAATGTTGCTCCTCCTTATCTAGAAGTAAAACCAATAAAGTACTATTTGTTTGCACAATTTCCTTTGATTGTTGATTATGTGCACAAAAGCTTGAATTTGTTCAAATATTTCAAAATCTCTAACTAATATATATATGCTGATAAAAAAAATTAGTATTTGTTGCTGCTTAGATGCACAAAAGCTTGAACTATACTACTTTCTATTCCCCTAAAGAAAATCGACCTAGCTATTATAGTCCATTGGAGCAGTATCCGTAGTAGCAGCATCTCTAATATCCTGCGCGATGGATGGTTCTTTTGATTGTTACCTATGAATTGTTTCTTTTTAAGTATAAGAATCACATTGACAAATCACAGTATTTGTTTCAACATTGCACGGTGTTTATATGTTGAGAATTGTTTATCGACAAACGTTTTAAAGTATAAGTGAAAGGATATATAAAACTTGAAATTCACTCTTTTTTTTTTGTTTCCTAGAGTAAATGTGTAAATTTGGTCCTAGAAAAATTCTAGTTTTGCATTTGGTTCTCATATTAAATGTTAATGAATGAATCAAGATGGTAGATGTTAGAAGGTTATCGTTAACCTTTATTATTAATATCTTATTGACTAAAAAAAAATATTATTCTAACTTCCATATGCAATTTATGTTGTCAATGGACCAAAATTATTTATTTTGAAAAAATTAGAGGACGAAATGTGCTAATCAAATTTTAACAGGATTAAATTTACACACTTTTCAAAAGTTACAAAGATCAAAAGTGAATTTTAAACTTCCTTTTTTTAAAAAACAAAATTACATATATATAATAACAATAGGGATGAACTTAAGCCTGTTAATTATAAGTATAAAAGATTAAAATATGTAAATTATTTTTAAAATTTAGTGAAGACTACTAAAGAACAAAAAAACTCGTGTAATTTTATATATTTTAATAAAGTTTAACTAATATAAAGAAAAGCTAAAGTAATGATTCTATGCAATTTGAAAAGTGTTAATTATAAGATTAAAAAGTCTGTGGACTTTTTAAATGGCAGTCAAAAATTAAGTGCAGCAAAAAAGGGTAAAATTTAGTGACAAAAATGTTGCAATTCCTTTTCATATACACTACAGATATGACTTGTGTCTACAAAACACCAAATATACGTAAGGAAAACAAACAGATGCAAATCATTATGCTGATATAGGAGACTTTTTCAGTAAATTAGTGTCATCCCACATTCCTTCAATCACAAATTCTATACTGCCTTTGAACTTCACAAATCCATGACCGTATGCATGTGAACACACTTCAAAAAGTTGTGTTATGCATCATTATGGTTGCTTCAATGCGGAGGGTAGAACTAACATTGACCTGTTGGCATCCAATAAACTGCCACTTTAGATCAAATGTCGGTTTATTTCTTGATAGATGTGCTTGCATAACCAGCACTCCTTCACTCTCCAGTAGCAACTATTCAGCATGCCCTCAACTTGAACTCAAAAGTGAAAACTCCCAGAGTACCAAGATTAAAGTATGACATCCACAGAAAATATAAGATTGCATATGTTTCCCTCTATGGAAACACTTTCCTGAGAACCATTATTGGAATTCAGGGTTTTCATTGCTTTCCTATAATGTTCTGCTTCAGCGTGTCTACCATTTCTTTTCCAAGCCGGCTATTAGTACATTATATGTACCTAACACAGGACAAAATCCTTTGCTGCACATGGTTTTTGTAAATCTCAAGTGCCTTATCAACTCTTTTACAGAGAAGTAAACACTAAATCAAGCAGTATAGGTGGCAGTGCACTTGTGGCTATCAGGTAATAAATTGAAAATCTTCATAGCAAAAGTGTGCTTCCTAGCACAACCAAGCCTAAAGATCAAAAGTGAAGCTAGATAGATTCCAAGAGAATGTCCAGCTCTAGTCATTTCCTCAACAATGTCCACCAGCTTTGAAAACTTATTTGATCTGGTCAACACGCCCAATAAGGAGAGATATCCTGTTCTCTCTATACTTATTCCCATTGTAACACTGTACTTGAAAGCCAACAAAGCACCTTCAGGTCGGCAATGACTACAATTTACCTCAATAATGGTTGAGATAACCTTATGATCTAAAGATAGTTTCTTTTCCATCATCCCTCTAAGTAATGTCAATAGCAACAACATTCTATTTTTCATAAAACAAATAAAAGCTCTTGTATCCAATGTTAGGTAGGAGAATCTGACCAGGCAACGCTGACAGAATAATTTTGTCTTTTCTTCCTTATGCTCAATGGTAAAACTGAGGATTCATTGCCTTAGAAGGGTATCATCCCCACCAGCACACTTTAAGCTTCCATGCTTTAAACAAAAACAGGGTATGGAGAACAACGACGGTTTCTTCTGTACTGAAGGATATGTGTCAGTAACTCAGTCCCACCAACTTCAGAACACCTCTCAATCAAAATATTGCATGCAGCTTTGTCAGGTCGTGCCCCAGCCTCTTGCATCTTTTCAAAAATCTCTAGGGCCTCTTTACATTTTCCTACAATACAATAATAAATGAAATTACCACATTTAACTCCATAACAATAAACAAAAGTCAGGAACAGTCAGGAAAGGTGGCGAGTAACTTAGAAGCTTCAAAATGAAATTGCGCTGAAAGTTGCACCGCATAAAGCCATCATTCTGATCTGCAGAATTTTGTAAACTCAATGTAATATGTCTTTAACTTTATAATGATGCACTAAAGTAATACATCATTTAAATTTTTTCATCAGTGACTGAGATCACTATGGCTTTGAGTAAGTCCTAAGTGACTCCATGACACGAAAATGTTAATATAATAGGCCATAAGCTTGAGCTTTCTGCAAGTAAACTACTGTTTCGTCAAACTCTACAGAAAAGAATCATGACACGTTAAGCCAGACTCAAGCTCATTTAGCTATTAAAAACGGTGTTTGTAGAGCAACTGAAGGTATAAAATCACTAAGAAGAATTAACCAAGAATGCATTGACATTGTACTGTATCAACAATCATTGAATATGGTCTATGTTAGGACTGTTGAACTTCTATAATGTTACTTGAGAGGTCATACCTAAATGATTTACATTAGGTAGGTAGTGAAAAAATTTACACTCATTAACTAATGGCACACAATCAAATCATACATTTGTATCATTTATAACAATCATCGTTCAATAAGTATCACAGACAAGAACTGAATACCGGCTAGACCATACGAAAACATGTTAAGGGTACACTAACCAGACCCAATAAGATGGGTCCATTAGGACAGTGTAGTGTGGCAATTTGGAGCAACACCAGAGCCAATCATCTCCTTGTAAACACGTAGTGCCGTCCTTTACTTTTTTATTTCATAACCAGAATCTTACATATACGCCTGTTTAAGTACACACAGTGTGCTCCCATCCGCCTTCTCCTTGACTTTCATTTCTTCCCACATTTGCATAGCCCATCCTCGTTCCCATAACTGGAAAGCCAATGCATCATGGAAGTGTAGGTAACAGAATTCAACCTTGATTCCCTTCTCGTGCATCTTTGGAAAACGTGCTTCATCGGAAGATACTTCTCACAGCTTCCCCGAAAATATCCAAGCATGTAGTGTAAGTGTATTGGTCGTGCTTGAACCCTTTGAGCTCAGAGGCCCAGTTGAAGAACAGCCACGCTTTCTCCATTGGCGGGTGTGACTTCAGAACCTGGTTCACCCTGTATGAGTCCCACTTCAAAGGGAGATTGTTGAGCTCTGACTCAGCTGTTTCCCAGGTTGAGTACTTTAGCGTGTTGTAAATTTTCCCAATTACATTCCTCGTATACTCTCTGGGCTCATCCTTCTTCTTCTTTTCTTTCAATTTCAAATTCAATTTCTCAGGTTTTTTCATGTTGGTGTTGCTGTCACTGCGAAATGGAGTAATGGGTTTGCTTTTTGGTTTGCCTTGATGCTGCTTGAGGAAATGCATGGCTTTGGCTTTGGTAGAAGGACAGGTACAAGGTTTTGAGAAATCCATGAAGCTTGGAGATTCTGGTTCTACACTTCAGTAACATTGCAATCATCGATACCGTAGCCATCATTAACCATTCTATATCCATGCAGTAGTATGTGGGCTGGCCCAATATTCCCGCGTGAATATAAGAAAAGAAAGTGCCATTTCTTCCCACACCTGCCACCATTGTGAGGAAATGCAAAAAGTGTAGTAAAATGTCAGAAGTTTCCTAATATATTCTGAATTACATAATTTAAAAAGAAAACGGGGCAAGGTAGGAAAAGATAAGAGACCAAGGACAAAAATAATTTAAAAAAAAAATCCAAATGGAAATTAAGTCATTATCGGACTTTAGTTTTTTTTTAATCACAGATTATGCATTCTAGAAAGTACATTTAAAAATATATATTTTTTGTAAAAATTATATAATCTATAATGTATTTTTATTTTGTATTTTTTTTATTGTACATTTTGAATACAATTTTTGTATTGTGGATTATACATTCTTAAATATAATTTACAATAAAAATTCTTATTTTGGAATGCACATAATACAAATATAATTTGGATTGTACATTTTAAAACATATTTGGATTTTTCAATTCGGAATTGAAATTGAAAATCTTAAACGAGTAAATTTTAAGTGTTTAAGTTTGTGAGAGTCATATTGAGATTATAGAGACCTAAAACAGCATAGGTGTTTCTATAGGTATTTCTAAATATTGAGTAGTGAGTTGGACATAAATTTAATTGTTTATTTATAAGAAATAGTATAATCAATATATGAGTATTATGATTGTTGAAAAATCGAAGTCATAGCAGTATATTGGTTTCGATTGCTAGCTATCATAAATATTTTTTTAGATAAAATATTTAAATAAAAAGAGTGATAATTTTAAAATTTACATTAACTTTTTTGTTTCTGACTAGATTAATATGGACATCGTATTTGGAACCAAGTTGATATCCTTCTAAATTATTAAATAAAAGTTAAACAATTTAA